ATGAAAGCATTTTTCTCCAAAATCCTTGTTCTTCTGTCATTGAAAAACAGAACAAAAATTAGTTTCAAGAATTTTGATTATTCTAGTGTTGTTTTTCAAGCATTGAGAATGCATACCTGTATGTAGTACAATTTTTACTCTAAGGAAGCTACACAATTCTTGTCATTGGTGAGCATCTGCACTAATAATACTAGTTCACCATTACCTTAAAAAGTCTAGGTGGCATGCTAATACAGGTGAGACTGAGCATTTTGTTTTGCCCTTTGGCACTTGTGTAGAGTAAAGCTAGTATGAGTTTTTAGTGTTTCTGGTCTCCTTTTGTTTTTTGTATTAAAGATGGGATGGGGAAGTTATGAAGCACCTGACCATCTGCTGGAAGATGGAGGATTCTGTTACCAAACCTTCATTATTTATTAGGTGTGCCTGTCTAAGTTTCTTGGCAGAAGTTTGTTTTTGGAGACTGAGTATCTTGAGGTCAAATTTTGGTGTACTTCTTTTTAACTCTCCTCGACTGCACAAGATTTCTCCATGTAACTTCTTTTTGAATCTTCAGAGTGAGATTGTCTTTTGATTCTGTTTATTCTGATCAGCTGCTTTGCATCTAACAGTTGTGTCTGAGATTTAGGGCTAGAATTCAATTGCATTCTCTGAATGTTGTTTTGTATTGGTAGTCGTTTACTGGAAGAGGGGGAAGGAAAACCAAACTTCCAGTGAAGACAGAGTAGAATGTGCATTGATTTGGATGGTACATTGCAATGATATACTGTAAAATGGCAGAGAATAAAAGGAATAATTGATAGTATAGAGCATACAATTAAGTTTATAAGATAAAGTTCTGTTATTGGACCAGGTAAGGTCACTTTACGTCTTCATAAGAATGTAAGGGAAGTACCATATGAAAATGAAATCAGGGAAGCAATCTCTTCAGTATTCATAATTCATTACATATCAGTTGTGGTACATGATATGAGCACATATAGAATTTGAGTTATGTGATTTTTGCTATTTAATGCCCATTGCTGGCTCTTAGTTTGCGTTATGCACCTTTAACCAGAGATGCAGATATGCAACTCTGAGGCTGGGACCTTGTGGTGGTCTGTTTGTAGGTCTGTGTGAGTGCTCACATACTTCCTTTGCTGTGGCGAGTTGTAGGCACAACAGCAAAAGTAAGGGATGATAGTTTGGAGAGCCTCAAATGTGCATTTTATTTTTACCCTGAAATGCAATTTATTTCCTTCTTGAAGTATAAACATGTTAGAACTTCCAGGATTTCCCAATTTTGTGAATTTCTTCCTCTTTCAAAGTCCCTTTATCATTGCTACTGCTTTCATGGCCATGTTGTTAAGGAAGTGGGTTTTGTCCTTTGGCAGCAGAGGCAATTTTAATACCCTCACTTCTTTCAGACTAAATCTGCAAAACTGTTGCATGCAATCATTCTGTAGCCTCTGGGCTTGAAGTATCCTCTGAGTTTAACTTAGACTGCCACTTGACCTTCTGGGCTTGCTTCACCTTGTGGTTTCCAATCTGCATAATAATTTCGTGTCACACTTCAGTTAAATGGTTTCTTTTTGACAGATGAAAGTATCTTCAAAGAGAGTTTAACTATATATTCTGCCTCAGCGATAATTCCATTCTATTTGACTTGATTTATCTGTAAATATGAATGTCTTTCTGAATACCAGCTTAAATTATGTACAAGTGGAGATTATAAATTATCTGTATAAAAATTACTTTCTAGGGATATTGTACATATAAAATGTACGCTGTGATTAATTCTGGATTAGGTGCTGTTCAGCATGAAGCTGACGTTTTATGAAGGAAATCTAGGAATTACTCTAATATGTCTAGTTAAAAATCGTGGTGATTTGATATCAGATTCAGAAGCGTATCCCAAGCCAGCTGCATCAGAAGGGTGTAGAAGTGTTGGGTGTCATCCTAAAGACTTGCAGGCTAAAAGACACAATTCTCACTGCTAGGACTAACTTAGAATTCTAGCTTTGCTGTGCCTTATACACCGCTACAGTCGTGATTTTGCTGTGTGTTCCTAGAAACAGGAATTGTGTTGCCTTCCCTAAAAGTCATCCAGGACCAATTTTTTCCTATAAAGTGGAAAGAGGGGGTTGTGTCATGATCAAGACTGTTTGATATTTCAGAACTTCGAGTGTTTCAAATAAAATTCTCTCTAGAAATAATATTGCAGATGTATGATGTATTTGAGAAGGTTGTTGGGAACAAAGAAATTTTACATTTTTGTGTTCCTCCCTGGCACCACTATGAGCTTCTGGTGAATTCTGGAGTCACTGAGAAATTATTAAACCAGTAATGTGGTTAACATGTGCTTTGTGAAAGAACTGCAATATGCAGGTTTGCTCGATTTTAAGTCTGGTGAGTGAACCCTTGCCTGCTGAAAAGAGGAGATCCTAGCAGTGAGAGGAGGGACTTGCAGTGTAGCAAAAAGCTGTCAAACATTTTACTTGACAGACAGTGACCTACTGAATTTGATGTATATAGACTGCATAATGCATTTTCTGAATAAAACCTTTGCTCTAAGTGAATACTGCATTTTCACAGAGAAGCTGATTGTTTATCGATGCTGTTACTCTGTCTTTGCTGTTTTCTTAATTCTAGTATAGTGGTTTTTTTCTACTTTCACAGAAGTGACTGTGTAAAAGAAGCTAATATAAAAACCACTCAAGTTTCAGGTTCTCATCATAGTTGCAGCTTCAGACAGACTTGAATGCCTTGAAAAGGCATATACAAGGATCGAAGAGAAAATGGTCCTTGAAACTGTAACAGTGTTACTTGGCTTACAAGGTCACTTGTCCAATAGTGCTGTCCTTTCAGAAAATTTGATGGGGTTTTGTGTGTTAGAAGAACATGGCAACCTTTTTTCTCTTTTTCACAGAGCTCTGTGTTGTGTTTGCATCTTTGTTTTTCCATTGTGGGTGTGCTGATAAGTAAATATTATTTGAGGCTTTGGATTGATATTTAACAGCTGAGATGGTTGATTATACCACTGAAAACATTTGTCATTGCCCATTCCAATGTCATCAGTATGAACCAGCTGAACTCTGCCTTTCTTTTTCTTTGCTGCCCCTGGGGTTTAATGGCTTTGCAGAGAAGGTCCTGCCTGGCATATTGAGCTGCTCCAGAAGGTCTAACCCATAAGCAGTGAGTACTGAACTGCAGCACACTAGTGCTGTAGGTGTTGACTCACCAGGCTGTTTTTAATTGCAGTTCTCTTGAAGGTAGATAATCTGTGCAGACCGTCAACACATTAAATCTTTGGGTATCTACCAATCTGATGATATATTTGTATGGCTACATATGCTGATCTGCTTTTCTCTTCTTGGGAATTAAATCTTCTCCTGTGCGCATACTGTTTGCATTTAAAATTAGCTTTCATGTGTCTGTGGCTCTTGCTATAGCTGGCAAATGGTTATATCTCAAATCTCTGGTGATATGTGTTCTTATAGAATTTTTGAGCCTCATGTAAACCCGCTTTCAGATGTGCATGAATTGAAAAGCATCTGTAATGTTTTGATGTGACTGATACCAAGATATGATTGACCAAGATTGGAATTACTTTATTACTGGAGTGTCATTCAAACTAACCATCTGCAAATTCGGACGGGGGAGTCTGTTATTCTGATATGTGTTCGTTTGCGGTATAATTGCTTTGAAAAAATTGTCAAATTTTTTTGTCTCAAGGTAACAAATTTTTATAGTTTATGTGTTGTTAGACACAGATCTTCTCTCAAAATTCCATTCCTGTTTGGTTGGAGATAGAAAACAACTAGTCTCAGTTCTTTCTTTGTATGTATTTTTCTAGAGAGAAAGGTGCAACTAATTTGGCTAAATGATATGTTCCAGCTGGAGGCTGCCCTGGGGAAGAAAAAAGGTCTTATGGGCATGGGCAATTTTGGTACAACCTTGCCTATTAATAGGTACTTTCAGACTTTCCCAGGATGGCATTAATGCCTGTAAATAATGGCAGAGTTCATCCAGGAATGCTGAACAAATGAAATATTGGGCAGTGTGCACAGAAACCAGTTTGTTCTTACCTAAGGATACTCCAACACGCAGAGAACTTTTGAGAATTCTCTTTACTTTGTAAAGGAGATGTGAAGAAGAGAACTTCTTGTAAACTAGGGGAAACATAGTGCATTGCTTTGGTTATTTGCATGGGAGCCCTAGAGAGGTCTTATAACCTTAATTTTTTGTTTAGTTTTTTTTTTGTTGTTGTTGTTTTTGTGAGGCTACTGACTTTGAGGTTTGACCACCTGTGGCATAATTGCATATGCATTTTGTAGACATCTGGGAGGCTTAAGATATTGCTGTTCTCCTGCTGTTTTTCTGTTAGCTGAAAGTTGCTGCCCTCAAAGCTGAGCCACCCTTGTGGATCATATGAATTATCTTAGTCCATGTCAGTGCAAAGTCAGCCAGGTTATTTTAAATTACTGCTGAATTCAGCTGACGGTAGTAATGAACAGCTTGGTGTAATAACTACTTAAACCATTCCAAGACTTCCAAGAGCACATCTGTCTGTGTCCTTATAAGTACAATACTTTAATCTCTCCATTGCTGTATTGTATTCAGGATTTGTCAGGACTGCAGAGCAATTGCCAAGGGGAGTCTAATATTGAAGTGGAATGTATTGGTGCTTCCTGTCTATCATTATTATCACATTGCAATACAAAGATTAGAATGGTGAATGTGTAACATACACATTGAATGGTAAAGTAAGTTTATTTTCATATATGAGGTAAATGTGTAGAAGTCATAATTTGGAAATCTCTTGGAAAGAGATTACTGTACAGAGTCTCTTTCCATACTCTTGTTCCTAGTTCAGCCACTTCTAGCCCCACTTACCTTTGACTCCTAGCCATTTAAGTTCTTACCTTCTCTGTACCCTTGATTAATTCCCCCCAACACTTCCCTGTATTGATTAGAAATATAATGAATTTTTTAGCTCTATTTTTTTTTATTTTTTGCCCCAGGTCCAGCAAGACTATGAATCTCTGTTCCAAATGCTTTGCTGGTAAGTGCAGTAAAAGGTTTTGTGTTTCCCTTAGATTATTGAAACCACATTGTTGGCATCTCCCTTAGGATTCGTGCATGGGTTTCTCTTCCTTCAGTGTGTATATGTAATCAGATTTTCCTTACTTTGGTGCTTCTTTTATTTGATAATCAAAACCCCCTTGTGTAAATGTACCCATCAAACCTTGTTCTTGAAGTTTAGGGAATTTAGGTACATCCTTGAACTACAGAGCTCCGTTGCCAGCACAGCTCCTGTACGGATGATATGGTTTCCACAACACATAAGTCTGAACTGTAATTTGGAATTTTTTAGAATTTATTTTGTAATAACCTCTGATATGTAGAATGGATAAAAAAATTAAAAGGAAAAGTTGATATAGAACACCTCATTCCATTTCCATTAACTTGCAGCTCTTCAACATTAAATCATCAGTAAGTCGTTGGTAGGCTGTTCTAATTACTTCATATTATTTTCTTATTGTAAGTTCATTCCTATTTTGTGAAATCTTAAGAATTGTTATTGACCTTTTCCTGTTAGCAGCTTCTAGCTTTGCCCTCTGAATTATTTTTTTGGTATTATTTAGTATTGTAACCTTTTTAAAATTGTAATTAAGGTCTTGTCATAGCTCATGATTTTTAACTGCCTTGGGCCAACAGATAAAATTTTAAAAGGTTCGGCTTTTTTTTTTTTTTAGCTTTAAAATTTTCTTGGCATTTTTTAAACAAAAAAAATAATTTTGACTTAGATTTCTCTTGGGTTCAGCACCACTTCATTAAACAAACATATGGGAAATGCAGATTGTTAAAAGGTTGTTCAGCAAAATGTATTTCTATGGCTGTTTTCTAAAGTCATGGGTCTCTGGAAAGGGTATATTGAGGAAAGTGTCAGTCATTTCTTGTACTCTTTGCCTACTGACCACAGTCACAATCAAGTCTTTGATTTGACTCAGTGGGACTGTTGTCTTTCATACTAGCACTGCAAATAACTTATATCTGTGTACTCAGCAATGCAGGCATTCTGATTCTGAGACATCAAAACAGCCCATCCCTCATTTGCTGAGTTTAGCAGAGTACCCAACACTTCACAGCCAGCAGATCAGGCATTATGCAGAGCATCTTTTCTTTTGGTTTTTATTTTTGGTGTTGGTTTGTAATTTTGTTTCTTTTTAATGAGAAGAAAAGTTATTGGCTTCTGTTCTGCAATTTTTCTGAAATGCCATTACCTCTGATAAAGTTAATTTTTCTCTACTGTAAAATTGTAAGATGAGACCTTGTGTGATTGACGGGGTGGGTGTGGGAGAGCGTATGTTTTTAAAATTTCAAGATGTTCCTTAGAGCCTGTTTATTTTAATGACATAAGTCTTTGGAAGAATTTTAGTAACTTAAAGAGCTACTAGTGGTTGGAATAAAGGTACTGTAGAAAATACTTTGGAAAAAGACAAATTTACTCTTATTTAGATCTTAACTATGGTTCCTCCAAGTAGTATTGAAATAACCAGTTCTGTTGGAGTCATAACTCAAAACCTCCAAGTGTCATCATTCCAACTTAAAAGTGGTTTTCTATTTTTTCTTTTTTTTCCTCCAAGATGCTACTGACGTATTTTAAGCATATTTTTATACTGAGTTTCTAGCTATATATTGATATAGAAGGATATGTACTCCTGTTTCTGTAAATTTAACCACCACAGGTAGCAAGATTTTGGGCAAGTAAGGTGTTGAAACATGTTTTTCACTGTTTCAAGCACTCCAGAGAAAGAATGTGAAAAATAGTTCTCTTTTTTCTCTTTTAATTTGGCAAATTATGTTGAAGCAGAGGGAAAATTTCAAAGTATTACTTCTCTTGACTGTAATTTCCTTTTTCTTTTATTTCAGAAAAGAGAAATCCACACAACGAAAAAGGTTAGTAACTCTTTAAATTACTTTTTTTTGCTCGTTTTTTTTCTAGATGGAAGAATCCAGTCTTCCTTTTTAAAAAAAAAAAAATATTTTGAGACATAGCAGGAAAGACCCTTACATTTATGTAAGCATTCTTTTTTTATGTATATCGGGGAGAAGGGCAACAAGTCCTTAAGGGATGAAATGTTCTGTTTACAGTGCAGTATGATTTATTCATGGAACCCCCTATCTTAGCAGGTTTTTCAGACTTCCTGAACTATCAACAAGTTTGTAAATACATTATCGTGTAAATACATGATCACGAAGTCTTCTTTGCTTCTGCATTTCCTGGCTTCCCCGTTGTTCTGGTTCTGCCAGGGCAGGGTTGATTTCTGCAGTAGCCAGGAGGGGGCATGGCTGGGACAGGAGGTTATTCTGTTCCACCTCCCCCATTGTCAGGGGTGGGGGAAAGGGACACTCCTCCAGGGAGAAGGGGCTGCCTTCCAGTCCAGAAAGTCTGGCAGAGGGAGTGGTTGGGGAACGCCAACATTTTGCATGTGAACCACTCTCCTATCTCTGGTACATTTTTGTTAGTAATATTGTCACTATTAATGTTTGTTTTCTTATCTCATTTGCTGTATCCAGTATATTGTTATCTCAGCCTGCAATCTTTACTTTTTTGCCTCCAATTCTCCTCTCCAGCCTGCCACAAGGGGAGGGGGAACTGAGGGAGCAGCTTGTGCTTTGGAGTTTCAGTGGGGCACTAAATTCGGGAATATCATTCCTAAACCATGAAAAAATGGTCAAGTTTGACATCTATCAGATTAATTAGCCTGGAATTGGGGCAAAAGGTGATGTCAATCTGCCTTATTGTTTGACCAAATGCTTCTGTTTTCTAAATTTATAGTCAAAATAAATTCACTGAATTTTCACTCACATTTCTCCAAAGATGAGACAAACTGCAAAAACAACCAGATAACATAGCAGGGAGACTGGCATTTCTTGTTTTGGTTGTCCTTTGTACTTTTTCTTACATTAAGTGTGGGAATACTGCTCACAAGTTATTACAGAGATTAAGTTGTTTTCTATGTCAAGAATGAGCTGCATATTGCACAGATATATGCATCCCTTTGCCTGTAACTGCCCAGTGTTCTGATCTAGTTGCAGAAGGCTCACTAGGCCCTTCTGTACAACCACAAAATTGCTGTTCATTTGCCAGAGACTAGTTCTTAGCTTGCACATAAGGGTTGATAAATACTGCAGAAGAGCTTGAAGTTAGCTACCCTCTTCAGCTGTCGTTGCCTCCTCTTCACACCATCTGCCTGTTCCAATAAGGAATACCTGACTTGTTTTACTTAAACCCTGTAGAAGCAACAGTCTCTGAAATGTTCAAGAGCTTCTCTAAAATAATTTCAATTTAATTGTACTTCTTCAAAGTACTTCACAACATTCTGTCTCCAATTCAGTGCTGACCGTGTGTTATCAACGCCTCAGAGTCTCCAGATACAGAACAAGTGTAACCCTACATATTGAAGTGCTTCAAATAAATATGCTCTTTAGATGGTGAAGACAGTTGCTTCAGACTTCCCATGCATCTAGAATACAAATGCAGTAAAGTGGTGTGGGTTTTGGAGGTTTTTTTGTGGTTTTTTTTTTTTTTGGAGAGAATATTCGCTGGTGAGTAAAAGAATGTAAATTATGACTGGAGTATCTCTCTTCGTGGCACTGCATTTTTCAAGAATGCTGCAGCCTTTCTTCTTTCAATATGGTAAACTGTGAATTCTGAGTGATTTAATACAGGACAGTGTTGAGTTTAAATTTTCAGAAGTACTCTTTATTAACCCATCTTTGCTCCCATTAGGTTTTTCGAAGTTCTAGTGTCAACTTCAGGTAGGGACTTTGTTTCAGTACTTTTTGAAATGCCACTTGATAAAGTAGGATCTTTCAGGCAGGAATTCTGCATTCATGGAAACAGCACCTGGTACCTCAAGAATTCACTTTTAATTGGAACCTCTGGGAACAGTTACAGAATGAACTATTACAGAGTACAAACAAAAATTTAAGTAGAGAAAATGATAAGACTAGACTTTCTACTTACATCACCCACCAAAAATGCAGTCTATCTTTAATGCATTTGATTGTGAGCCTGGAAGGTTTAATTTGTGTTATGTTCTATCAGCAATGGAAAGAGAGGTACAGGAAGTGGATTTCAGCTTGTTCGGTAGTGTGTGAAGCTAAAGGTAAGTGCAGCAACGGATGGTTTGGTGGAGAGATGCAATTGCAAAACTGGAAGAAGATAAAATTTGATCAGAGTACTCATGGATTTGTGAATCAAAATCATAGGCATTCTGTCTGAACATGTAATTGAAACTTCTGGAGGTGGGTATCCATCCCTTAATCCAGCTGTGCAATATTTATGTTCATGTTGTGTGAAGTGCTAGAACAGCGTCACTGAAACGGAAAAAATAACACAGCCATATAACCAAAGAATTGTGTGCGTTTTAGGAGCTTCAGCTTATCGTTAGGTCTTCCTTGTAGGTTGAAATAAAACACATATTTTTAATTACTGGATTCTTGATGAGTAAAAAATTAGAAATCTTTAATCTTCATTATACTAGCAGAAAGTCAGTATTGCTAGAACTGCATCTGTATTTTCAGTACATATGCTTAACTCTATACTAGGTTATTATGAAATTTTGAAACTTTGATAGTATTTTTTATGTTCCTGAATTGAAAAGATCAAATAAGTAGTAAAAAAAAAAAGACATTAATATGTACTAAATATTGTCTGAGTCTAGAAGTGTCAGATTAGTCACGTATTGCTTGAACTCAGATGTCTCACTATAGAGTTACTTCATATTTTTGCATATCTTAACCTTCCTCCTTTGTTGAGCAGACCTTTATTTTGTCGTGCTTAAATCGCACACAGTTTTTGGAGCTTACAAAATTGGCAGTTTTTTGTGTCTCAGACTTATTGAATAGTACAATTTCCTTTTCTCTCAGTTTTTGTAAATCTTGGGAGCTCTTTAGAACTTGTCTGTTATTCCTGCCATGTCTGGCAGTAATGACTCCTATTGTAAGCATGAGCTGGCAAAAATCAGCATTCCTGCCTAAATAGATTTTGCTGTTAATTAACTGCTGATTTGATTCCTAGTCAAGCTTACAGCTTGCTTACTGGAAACCTTTTCAGCAGGTGCATCTTACATGTTGCTAGTTCAAATTAGGCATTTTTTGCTGTGCCCTATTGTATGGTAATTACTAAATTATGCTTCATTCAACATTGTGTTCATAAAGTTTTCAGTCCTAAATGAATGATACAAATCTGTTATGTTTGTATTTTTCATATGTTTGTAATCTCTGATGTGAATCCACCAGTTTTAGTACTTTGTTAGAAAGTTTTTTGTTAGAAAAGCAGCAAGAAGTTTCCAGAAATTTGAAAGTGTCAATAAAAACTAGTTTTCTTTACCACTGCACAAGACGTTTCTTTTTTCAGTATGATATTCCCTTTGTTGGCTCCACATAGAAGCCAGTGCCTCAATATGTTGCTTCATTAGGTTAGAATTTGCTGCTGTATTCACATCTGTCTTTGTACATTGAAGTACACAGACTGCTTGCTACAAAAAATGGCTCTCACTGGCTAGACTTTGAAAGTAATCAAGCTTCACTTTTAACTTCTATTACACAGTCAAGCTTGCAGCTAAATATTTCTTTGGAAAATTGTTAGCTGTTACAGTGGCAACAAAAATGCTTTTTATTTCTAGAGCGCCGTCTAGTAAAGAATATAACATTTCAGATATAACCATAGATATTGTTTGGCTTACATTCAATTTCTTTTACTCTGTGCCCAAAGAATGTCTAAATGGGTAAACCTGGTAGGAAAAAGATATTTTAGCATAATTAGTAAGCTTGAAATATGAGATGTGTGCTTAGCTTGAAAAAGAGAGTCACCATGAAATGGAATTAAGAAAAAAATTGGATAAACTGCTTCAATTATTTATACACTTGATTTGCATTGCTTACCCAAATCATTCCTTTTACTCTGTTGGTATGCATTATTCTTTGACTTTGAAAAAATTTAAAAATCTGAATAGTAGCTCTGTTTGGACTGTTAAAACAGGGCAATATTTTGTGGAAAATTTGGGAAGGGATTTTTAGTTGACTCCTTTTACCCTAACCTCTCTTAAAGGTTTGGAGGGGAAATACAAATCAGGAGAAAAATAATTTATTCAAATACGGTTATATGTTCTAAACTTAGGGACTAACCATTTTACATTTGTCAGAAGTAAACATCAACCAAATCAACCTTTACAGTACCTTCCTAGTCCCAGTATATACAGGTTAATTGGAAATTCTGGAGAGAGGGATACCTGAAGTTTTCTAGCCTTGCTGGAGTTAAATACAGATCGCATGTTGAGTGAAGTTAGCAAAACATTATTTGAGGGATCTGTATCTACATTGTCATGGCATGGAAGCTGCAGAGTACAGTGCTCCTGTGTTGCTTTGTGTCAGTACTGATATGATTTGGCTGTGTGTGTTGTATAAAAAGGTGGGGAAGACACTGTAGAAGGCACAACCCTCACCTTCCTGGTACCTGGCTGTGTGAAGGCATTGTGTGCACAGCAGTGCAGTGAAGGATGTCAACAGGGCCAATGGCTCAGCTGCTGGTTTGGTGTACTCAGTTGTTTTGTCCTGTTTCATCTTCCTTTAATTTCCCCTGGATGAAATAGTGGGAAGGGGCAAGCACTAATGGAGGACAGACCTGTGAAGTTTCTGTGCAATTGTTAGTGGAAGAAAGAATTTCTTTTACAGCTGTCACTCGAATGTTGTGAATTGAGGTAGGACAGATTTTTCTTTTTCTCTTGTTTTTTTTCTTTCTGGCTGCTTTAAGTTAGTGGGGCATTATCCTGTCACATAAGTGTCTTTCCACCAACAGAGTCTAGAAAAATTGCCTTTTAATTAATAACTATTATCATTTTACAGTCAATGAATCCTATCAGCAAACTACCCTTTAGGACATTAGTGGC